CCCCAAAACCCCAAAACCCCAAAACCCCAATCATTAATTTTACGCTAATCATAGAGTGTGAGTATTTATATAATTTGTCATATTATTTTAATAAATGTATTTTGCTGCTAAGAACCCATTGTGCATTTTTCAATAAATTAGCCACAACTCAGCAATTCAATATTCTCATATTGAAATTTATATTAATAAAATCTTTATTAAATCTCGATGGATTTTCTTCTGGTGCTTTGTTTCTCTAATGTAAGTTAAATTAAAGATTATACATTTTTAGGGCAAGTATGTTTTAAATAACTCAGTCAGAATAGTGCTTTGCAAAGCCATTTCCAAGAGTTATTAACTCTACTTAGTATGATTTGAGTCTATAAGGTGCTTAATCCCTATAAGATTATAAAATGATAGCATGTGGCTCAGCAAGGGATACCTAAACAAACCTATCTTTACCCTTAATGATTTTGTTGAACGAGAATAGCGGAGAAGTATTATAAAATTCATTTCTATAGTGAAGCGATTCTGTTCCTGTTAACGACACATCTTATCTAAATTGTATTTAATGGTCAAGTAAAAACAACAATCTTAATAATTTTGGCTTGTCATTTGTTTCGATAAGTAACATTGACGATCTGATAGTAGTATTTAGCTCAACACTAAACATATTGAAAACTTATAGGAAAGATTCTATGAATAGTGGATTTTACACAGGTGTGATTGAAAAATTGCAAGATGGAGGAAGAATTGTATTTGGATACAAGCACTCCCCTAGTGTTTAGGGGGTTTTGGTAGCTGATTTTTCTACTAACATATTCCAGTATATTAAGCTAACATCAGACTATGGAAACTTCAATGCACAGGATTTCTCTGTGTAGAAACCGCATCTAATATTTTCTTTTGCAAGAGTATCAATCAGTGGTGGCCTTACTAAACCCTCATTAGTAATAATAAATGCAACATCCTCTTAAATCCAATATGGTTTTTATTCAACCAATAGCATTCTTCTAAATTCAACTATACTAAGATCTACCTAAAGTTCTACTAGCAATAATTTTAGTACATTTATTTGCAGAGACATATATAATTCTGGTAGTAAAAATGTTCAGATAGTCTCTTATTAATATCAGAATCCAGTTACTAATGGTGTACAGTCAGCATCATTATCTCGAGACAACATAATCTAATCATCAGGTTTAATTAATCATTACTGCAAAGATTTATAAGTCTTCAATCTCACACTTTAATTTGTACTGCTGAATTACAAAAGCAGTTCTTCGCCATCAGCAGAATAGTACGACTCCATTTTATACTTAAATACATTAGATCTAGCAAATAACCAATAATAATATTTCAAAATACTAGATCCTACAACACCTTTTCTCGCTTTTAATATCAGTTCAATTTTTGTGAGAAGTGTAAACGAATTGTATATCATTGGATGGACTTATTAGAAATAGACAAGTAGATAATCAGGAATCATTTTAGCGAATCCTCAGTCTTCGCAAAATTGCTTTAATCTAACTAAATCTTTTATCACAATCTAAACTTCAAAAGAAACTGGTGTACAGGCAATATCAAGCATACTAAATATATAAGTTCTAACCAGTATCAATACTTATTACTACATAGATCTAAATTTCCAGAAATCCGATGTGAATTTGCATACAGACAACACAGAAACTGAATATTGTTAGAGCTCAAGCAGCACATAAAACTAATTTTAATTTCAAAGATCGATTCCTGTAGGCTTTTAGACTTCTTATAACTATAAAGTTGGCTAACATCCACTGGTCATCTAGGCACCCTACTATACTATATAAGACAATAATTGTGAAGATTTTTCTCCTATTTATTCCGCTAAGTTGTAAAATGGCCAAGCTCTTCCCAATTTCATGACATACAATGAAACCAGTGCCTAATTATCAATTTAATCAACTCTTGCATAAGATACTGGTACCTATTTAATAACTTTCAATTAGTCCTAGATTCTAGGCCCCTCTTTTTATGATGATATTACAATTACTGTAAAAGCAAACATTTACCCACCTAGGTTTATAGTACCACTTTAACCTTTAAAACTCTTTGTCAATCAATCAATGACATATGTATTGCCGTCAATTGAAGATTAAGATAATGATAGCTGGTACTTGACTTTTGGTGAGCTACCATCTTTTATTACATTTAATAACTCAACAAGAGTATTTTCAATTGGTCCATATTTTTAGTATGGAAATTATAGTATAAGCATTATGCTAAATGATTCAGAACTATTTCAAACATATAACCTAACTATAGAAGTTTAACAGAATAATATGGCACCTTAGTTCACAGAGTTGCTGCATGATTAAAACTTGTTTGTTAATTAAGTCAGAATTTATACACTTCCAAGTGTTTATGATTAAGAAAACAACACAATCTATTTTTAGCTTTTGAATCAGAATCTTCCTAAATTTATCAAATTCGATTCCATATTAAGATAGTTTACTATCTAGCCAACAACTGATGAAGATGCTATTGAAATAACAATCTAAGTGCTCTTGTCTGATTATTTATTAACAAATCGATAGGAATTTAAAATAATGGTAAAGAAAAATACTCAGGCTCCATATTTTATTTAGCCATTAGTAGATTAAGTGATATATTTAAACTAGAATATTACCTATAAACTCTCAGAAATAAATGATTCTGATGGAAATGAATACTTTCTATTATGTGTGACATTACTACCAAGTTTTATTGCTTTTGACAACTCTACGAGAATATTCAACATTCATCCCACTAGTTCCTAGCAGCATGGTAATTATACTGTGACTTTGAGTTTATCTGATTTTGAAAAATCTTAGAATTACAGCTTTGTGATTTCAGTCCAGACTAATATTTATTCGCCTTTGTTCTCCTCTCCATTATAAAATATAACGGTATGTGTGAATTGTAGCTCCTATTAGTATGCTTTACCATAAGCTTTTGATCAAGATAATGATGATATTCTGATTTCTGTGGATAACTCTTACAATCCTTTTTTATCCTATGATCAGTCTTCTAAACAGATAATAATTCATCCAACTCAAGATAATTAAGTTGGTCATTACTCACTTCAGATTAATCTTACTGATAATATTCACATTTCTCAATTTCAACTGATAATATAGATTAAGATAAACCTAGAACCTCCTAAATTCATAAGTAAATTAGAGGATTTTATAGTTTTGATTGGCAGAAATATCACTTATTAATTGCCTCAAATTGTGGATATTGATAACGATTCATATTAAGTAGAAGTTGGAAATTTGCCTGTCTTTGCAAAATTCAACAATCTCACAAATACTTTCAGTTTTTCTCCCTAAATACAAAGCCAAAAAGGAAATTACACACTAATGATTACACTTAAAGATTACTATAGATAAAGAAATTACAATTTAATTATCGAAGTAAAAGAAAGTCTTGGAGGTCCTTAGTTTTTATCTTCATTATAAAACTAGACAGTGTTCATTGGCTAATCCTTAAATTACACACTACCTGAGTATTATGATCCAGATAATGATCAGGCATATCTTGAAATTGAATTAAATTTACCAGATTACATCTATTTCGATTAGGAAACGAAAACTTTTATCTTTACTCCAACGTCTGCTAATTTTATAGGAGAACTCTAGATAGAAATTTCAATCAAGGACAATTAATACATCAACCAATTCAAGTTATTCATTACTGTCAAAGAAAATTTGCAGGCTCCAAATTTTATTAGTCCTCTGCAAAACCTAACTGTATAGTTGAATTAACACATAATATATGAACTACCTGAAATTACAGATTTAGATGGAAATTAATTTTAGCTCTAAGTGGTAAGCGAACTACCCTCTTTTATAGTATATAAGAATTAGAGTAACAATCATACATTCGATATTTTACCTTAATCATCCAGAGATCATGGCACTTATGAAATAGTTATTAAACTCTCAGATTTTTCAAAATCTTAGACCTACTCATTTTTTATCATTGCAAAGACTAATTTCAATGCTCCTGAATTTGAAAGTGGACTATTAAATATATTTGTCTGTACTTAATGCTAAAGATAACTAGCATTGCCAAATATTATAGATTAGGATAGAATCAATGAAGTATAAGTAAATATACTTGGTTTTCTGCCAGAATTCGTAAAATTTGATTCTGATAGAAAAATTTTCTTGATTTAGCCTAATGATACAGCAAGTGTAGGCTCATATGAGATATAAGTTTAATTATCTGATGGGCATCTTTCAACTAATTACTCATTTTAAATTATAGTGAGAGTAAACTAATATACCCCTTACTTTGTGGACGAATTGTAACAGCAATTTCTTTTTGTGACTTAAACTCTTACATATTAGTTACCTGATATTAATGATGAAGATGGAAATGATTTCTACTTAGAGATACTTGAGGACTTACCAAGTTTCGTAGAATATGATAGCCAAAATAGAATATTCAAAATAAATCCAATAAGCGATGAAGATACAGGCACATACTTCATTCTGATAAGAGTTTCAGACTTTGAAAGATCTCGCAATTACACGTTGAAGATTATAGTAGATGATAACTTGCATGCACCAAAATTTGAATTTGATCTCCCTGAGTTACTAGTGTGCGTTGGCTGCTAAAAAATCTATGAGTTGCCAGGAATTGTTGATTAAGACAGTGAGGATCTGATTACTGTCAGAGTTTATGAATCTCTTCCTTAATTTGTGATTTATAATGTAGAAGAGAGAGTATTTGTTATCAAGCCCTATGATTCAGAAAATGTTGGCGAGTATCAGATCTATATACTTATATCTGATGGGTTTCATGATGTTTAAGATGTTTTGAAAATTAAAGTTCTGATGAATCTAGATGGACCTCATTTTGAACCAACTTTAGAGGATTAGATAGTTTATGTATCTCAAAGGCTTTCATATATACTACCGAAAGTCATTGATGAGGACGGTGATAATTACTAGATTGAAATTATAGATGAGCATAAGCTGCCCTCATTTATTTCATTTGACTTGGAATCAAGAGAATTTTCATTTGAACCTAAATCAATAAACGATAAGGGTGAGCATCCAATTTCTATTAACTTGAAAGATTATTATCTCACTCAATCATTTTCATTCAAGGTGATAGTAAGATTTGATTCTGCTCCTCCAGAATTCAATCAGAAACTTTAAGACTAGACTCTTACATAAGGACAGTATATCAGTTATCACTTGCCTAACTATTCAGATATAGATGGTGATGAGATATAGCTAGAAGTTTTAACACTGTTACCAAGCTATATTATCTTTGATAGTATACATCAAATTTTCACAATCAAATATAATTAGATGTAGTTAGATATCTAGAACTAGACTATTGAAATTATGCTGAAGGATATTTTGCTTAGCTAGAAATACACTTTCAATATTTACTTTCTTCCTTCAAATGAAATCATAAATGAAACTAGTGTTCAAGGTGACTAATTTTAACAATGGATATATTTAGACAGAGCTTAGTAAAGTGCTATCACTTCAAGTTAACTTCTAAAGGAACTATAATAGGATAAAATATAAGGATATATATCTCCATTAGACTCTAATTTAAAAGTAATAACTCTGGATTATACATAAAGTCTTTAAAAAGTGCTCTTTATTGCTAATTATGGTGGAGATTTTGTTCCTTCAGACATTGAAGTGCAAATAGTAAAGAATAAAAGAAGCCGATTTTAAAATTCAAAGATAATAGATTACAATCGCTATAAAAATCTCTTTTCAATAAAACCAGAATCTAAATATGACATTGGATTTTATGAAATCAAGATATTAATAAAGAACTAAAATAGAGTTGATAATCGGGCAAACCTTGTTGCCTATAAATTCTAAGTTAATGTAACAGATCTACCCTAAACTATTCCTTCAATTTAAACGGACAAGAATAGAGAATAAAGAATTAAACTCATATAGAACGATCATAATAGCATGCCATTCCGTGCATAAATTAGTGAAATTACATCTAGAGGTATTGTTCAGATTAGATTCAGTCAGAGATTAAAAAAGATAAATATGTCTAACGAGGAATTAAAAGAATAAAGAGTTATCGATCTTTCATTTGATGATCCTGAACTCTAAGCTTCCGATTCCTATTTTTGGTGGATAAAAAAAGTGACACAGAGATCTATCAAGATAAAAATAGCATTCAAAGATTCTTCTAAAGTTGGTCTTTTAAGTGTATTGAACTTATATCCTTATTAATAATACTAATTATAGAAAGGTAGCATTAAGGTGGCGATTTTGAGGAAAGATATATTTAAACCCATAAATTCTACTTAAACTCAAGTAGAGACGACCTATTTAAAAGCAAACTTTGTTCCATAGCTTGATGATAACGGGGATTAAGCAAATTATTTACTCATTATAGGAGAGATCTTTAAGTACTTACTTATTACTACCATTATTTTCAATCTTCTTACATATATCTGCAGGTAATTTTATTCATCATTAATGTATTACTAGTGGTGGTTCCTAAACAATGCTATTTCAAATGGTCAATTCGCTTTAAGTGATAGTGATTATTCCGCTCTTTAGCTTCAAATTGCCTGCTCTATTTGAATAATTCATATCACCTCTTAATGTTTTGAACTGGAAATTGTTTAGTTTCTCTTGCGATACTTTTAATAGTGATAATTTACCAGTTAGTTACAAATCGCAGGGATATAATTTCTAGAACAATGATTACAGGACATCAAATATCTTTGATAATAACTTTGTGATTCTTATTATGATTTGCTTCGGATTAGTTATACTTGCTTTTGTTTCATTTTTGTAAAAAATATGCGGAAATCGCCATTAGAAATTCAAGTTATGGCTTTTGCAAGTTTAGTAGAATTTATTAAGCAATATTTTGATTAGATTTATGCTTTTGTCATATTTTGCTTCAATACTATCCTCATTAATGAATTTTAAAGAGTTAAACAGTTCAAGCTTTTTAGAGATGCTCTCTGGAATGACTTCCACTTTAATCTTATTTGGCTATTTTGCCTTCATGATTTAATCACTTCATTTGCTTTTGAAAAATCAAGATATCGAATACCATATTAGAAATCATTCAAGATTTATTCTACTTTTTGAGGAGTATGGTGAAGATATTTTGTCAATGGCTTATTACCCATTATTTATGATTAAAAGAACTGCAATTGCTTTCACTTTGATTTATTTATAAAATCATCCAGTACTTCAATTTATGATCAGTTTTAATATTGCTTTTACTGTAAGTATATATAATTTCTAATTTTAATTATCTTTAGCAACTCATCTACTAAATTCAGGTGAGACCATACAAAATCAAAGCTTGCAACATTCTAGAGTCAATAAATTAGCTATTCAATTTTCTGATATACTCATCTATGATAGTGTTTACTGATCTTGTTGAGAGCTATGAAATAAAAAACAATACTTGTAAATATCTCTCACGAATAATATTTTTGAAATATAGCTAACACACTTATTGCTTTGATATCTTTAATGATAACTACGAATATTACTGTTGTTATTCTAGATAGAATTGGACACATAAGAACTTGCATTAAAAGGAATGGTAGCTTTCTTGAAAGATTTAAGTCCCTTAGAAGTTCAAATATGTTATTTAAAATTTAAAGCACTTCCTTGCATCAATCAACACAAATCAATCAAAGCTAAGAACTTTAATCTTCACAGGACTCTCCGTGTCATCAGAAGCAGACAAACAATAGTAATTTCAGCAGCCATATTTAACAGCAGGAACAGCCTTACCCTTCTTCTTCTATTTGGATAGATACTTTGGTTGAATAACCTAACAGTTTAAGAAGTATGGTAACTGCTGAGTCTAAATTATCTGCTGTTACTAGGAGCTCTAGAAAATTAAAAAATAAAAATGAGTAGATAGAATAAGTTTAAAGCAGACTATTCAGTGTAAATACGAGTATAATCAGTACCAAGAAATCTGATTACAAGCTCCCATAAATTTGAGCATAAAATGATGATATAAATATGCATGGAATGCATGATATTTTTACAATTATAATAAGCTTAATCATTTTAAATAACATTGTGATGTAAATTTCTTATAAACATTTAAGTCAAGTAATATAAGTAGGAAGCTGATGATAATAATCTGCAAAAATATTAAAAAAATATATTATTTGGGATAGCCAACTCCAATTGATTTAAAATTTATTTTAATTATTGGATATAATAAGTAATATAACTCTGCATGGGGTTTTGGGGTTTTGGGGAGATCGGAAGAGCGTCGT